TAGAGCTGGCGCACCCATGTGCCAAGGCTGAGTCTTTGCTGCAGTGGACAGTTTGAGTCTGACTTGTGGCCCTTTGCAGCGTGTCACCCCTTCTTTCTCTCAAATTGGCTTTTGTAACAGGCTGGTAGGTTTATATGCACAATCAGTGCATTGACACTAAACCTGTTTGTTCAGTGTGTTCATCCTTAGAGGTAGGGAGGGAACTTACTAAATACATTGAAGTTGATTATTTATTTCAGTGTAATGTTTATTCCCCTCACTTATGGAACTCTGTTCTGGAACTGTCAGGTTTTTGAGAAAAAGAACCAGAAGTCTGCGCAGACCATCCAGCAGCTGCAAAGGAAACTAGAGCACTACCACCGGAAGTTGCGGGAAGTGGAGCACAACGGTATCCCTCGCCAGCCCAAGGATGTTCTGCGGGACATGCAGCAGGGCCTAAAGGATGTCGGAGCCAAAGTCACAGGCTTCAGTGAAGGCGTAGTGGATAGCGTAAAGGGAGGCCTCTCCAGCTTCTCCCATGCCACCCACTCTGCTGCCGGGGCTGTCGTTTCCAAACCCCGGGAGATTGCATCGCTGATTCGCAACAAATTTGGCAGCGCTGAAAACATCCACTCTCTTAAAGACTCTCTGGACGACCCATCAGTGGAAGAAGCTGTGACAGGTGCTGGCGGACGTTCGCTGGGCAGTGCAGGGCATCACCTCCAGTCCAGTCCCAAGTACGGTAGTGAGGATGACTGCTCTAGTGCCACATCAGGCTCAGCGGGGGCCAACAGCATCACAGGGGCCCCTGGAGGTCCCCCCAGTTCCAAGGGTAACACACTGGAGAGGAGCCAGAGCTCCAGCCTAGACATGCTGCTGCAAGAGGTGCAGGAGCTGAGGGAGGGCCAGGCAAGGCTAGAGGAGAGCCTTGATGGTTTGAAGAGCCACTATCAGAGAGAATACACAGTTGCAATACAAGCACTGCAGGAGGAACGCTTCAGGTACAGAGAGAAAAGAGAACATACGAGAATTGTGTATCATACATTCCTGAGCCATGTCTAGTTTAGCACGAGAAATCCCCTAAAACTTCAACACCTGAACACATACTGATCATTCATATCATTTCTGTTTCATTTCATTTTCTGTATCATCACAGGCAACACTCGCTGTGCTTGTGCTCTAGAGAACTCTTTTATCAAGGAGAGGCCAAGGTAGATAAATCAAAACCTTGACCTGGGCCTGCTCTTAATAAACACGTAGTTTCCACAGAGGTGCTGCGCTTACTCTTTTTTTTTTACTTCTATTTTTATATATATTATGCAGCTTTTGAATGGCAGTCATTATCCTCCTATAAACAGCACTATTACAATAAATTAACTCTGTTGCTCGAACACATTGCTTCAGGATTTATACTGAACTAGTTTAAATGTTACTAGCATGAGAGCTGCAGATAAGAAAATTTTAGTTTTGTTGTTTTGAGTAAGCAGTGGACATTTAAATTGAGCCTCCACAAACGTGACCTGCAGTTGTCCTCTTAGTGCAAAGATCTTTGGCGTTATTTCAGCCCTTGTCCCCTGCTCTGCATATCTCAGCTTAGACTCAGACGTCTGTGTGCAGCTTTTGTTTTGGTCTGTCTGTGGGCAGTTGGCCTTAAAAAAACACACTCACATTCCTCGAGAATGTTCTGACAGGAGGGCACAAAGATTAAGAGGACAGGGCAAGGGCAGGGAGGGGACATATACCGAGCAGCTTACATAGTAAAAGAAACATGAGCATTTTTCTCCCTAAAATGTCGATCTGAGTCCAGAGCGGCCTGTGTTTGTCCTGTAGGACCAAAATAATTGTGAACAGAATGACCACTAAGGAGCTGTTTTGAGCCTGCCCACTGGGAGTAATAATTCATAAACCAATCATGTTGCTAAATAGTTCCTCACGGACTCAGCCAATCCTTTGCATAACCTAAAATGTGACTTTCTCAAGGAGGGCTTTAAATAACTATTAGCTATACTATACTAGCTGAAACAATTAACCAATCAGTAGAAAACTAATCTGCAGAAATTGAAATTATCTGTAGATTAATTAGCAATGAAAATAATCTGTAGTCACAGCCTTAGATGAATGTATTTATTCTTTCTCACATAATGGATTAGTTCTTTATTGTATAGGCGTTTTTCTATCTATTCTTTTCCTATGTTGCCCATCCAAATTGTATGTGTCTGCCAAAATAAACAGCAGTATAGATCCCTCTCCTCCTGCTGGATACCTCCCATTGGCCAGTCTCACACCGCTTACTGTGTCTGATTGGCCAGTTGGATCAGCAGATGAGTAAGCATGTCCTAATCTTGTCAGGGCGAGTCATCAGTTCAGTCAGGTGCCATGTGGTCAGCCTTCAGGGTCTGTTTCCACTAATTCCTGCATGTGTTACTTTGTCTAAGCCAATTATGCCCCAGACTCTCACGTGTGTTTTTTTGTGTTTGTGTGTTCAGGTGTGAACGTCTGGAAGAGCAGCTGAACGACTTGACAGAACTTCACCAGAATGAGATCCTCAACCTCAAACAGGAGCTGGCCAGTATGGAGGAGAAGATTGCCTACCAGTCTTATGAGAGAGCCAGAGACATACAGGTCTGTCCATCAGCCTAACGTCCACAAGCACATGTCAGAAATAAATTGGCTTTAGAAATGAGTTTAAGATTACATTTTCTTATTCTCTCATTGAACTTAAAATTGGCTGTTTCAAAGATGGCAGACTGCTGTACAACTGAATTTTCAGAAAGGGATGATAAGACATTTTAGAGGTTAAAGCAAAGTGTTCAATTAAATGGCCAGTTCTGGTCCTCGCTTCTGACGAGTTGAGTCATTGAAAGCCATTGCAAAATAGCTGATTTTGTGACGCACACAAAAAACTGCATTACATTCCGTCTTCTGACATTTTTTAATGTCGATGTTTAAAGCAATAAGCCACTTAACACACAATTTAATGGTGATTTTGCCTTTACTGACATATAACCCTAACCCTAACCCTAACCCATATAGCATGGAAAGATTTTTAAAATGAATAATCGTAATGGTAAATAAAGATATTTAATTAAGTGAACCTTTTAATCTTTGAACTACTTCGGTATTTTATTAAAACTCAAATCAATGTCATAAAATTTTGTCTTTGTTTCAGAGTGAGGCTTTTAGTGTCATAATGTCACCTAATTACATCAATAATCCTGTTTCCTGGCCTGTTAGTCAACCTCATGCTCCCAATCTCTTAGCACGCTCAGCAGCTGCTACTGAATTTGGCCAAGTAGCTTCCGTTAGCTAGAGCAACAGCAATGCCAAAGTAATTCTGGACTGAGTGTCAAAATGACATTTCACTATGGTAAAATACAATTTTAATAATTTAAATTACTGGTTTATGTATGTAGTTTTCTGTAAATATTCTTATTATATTATTGTGTCTATATTTCATTTGGCCATATAGAGTTCCACACTAACAGATCTTGCAAGAAAAAGAACTCTGCTTCTCTAACTTACTGATGTCTTTAGTAATAAGCCAATGTGGACTGAAAGTTTAAGGTGGTCACACACCTTTAAACATTCAAAGGCGCTCATTGTACAAGTTGACACTGTAAACATGAAGATTAGACAGAGAATCCAGTCTGTCCAACCTCTTTTGTCTTTGTTTCCTTGTAAATGACTCACATTACTTCAGTCCTTTCCTGCTGTCTGAGAGGGTTTGAATTTGTGTGTGCGCCTGCATAAAGTGTATTTACAGTCCAAGTTGCCCCTTGCCTGCATTTATTTTCCCCAGCAGCAGGGGGCGGTGAAGGTCTATGAAATATAAAGGCAGTTGCCTTTCTATTAGGGACACCTGTAAAATGCACCAGCCACCATAAATTCTACCATTACGAAGATAATAATGTCCAGTTTTGATTGGCAGAGATATTAATTTAACTATGTTTATGATTATGGCTTTTAGTGGAGCTGACCTGGACTACATCTTCTAGATATCTACATGTTTATGTTTGAAGAAAATGACTTTGCTGAGTGATTTTTGTTTCTTCTGCATGTCCTCTGCAGGAGGCATTAGAGGCGTGTCAGACCAGGATCTCTAAGATGGAGCTCCAGCAGCAGCAACAGCAGGTTGTCCAGTTGGAGGGGCTGGAAAATGCCACAGCCAGGACCCTCCTGGGAAAACTTATCAATGTGCTGCTGGCCCTTATGGCTGTCCTTCTGGTCTTTGTCTCAACTGTGGCCAACTGCGTGGTTCCCCTGATGAAGACACGCTCGCGCTCGCTCTCCACCCTCCTCCTCATCCTCCTACTGGCCTTCTTGTGGCGAAACTGGGACGCTCTCTCGGGGTACACACATCGCGCTCTACAGCCACCAGGATGACCAGATTGAAGCCAGCACATGTTGCTTTGTTGACACCAGGAGATGTAACTGTAGCTGCAGTCATGCAGGAAGTTTGAAGAACGTGATTGCCGTTAGGATGGCGGCGTGGCCGTGCACTGAAGATTCGGCTGAGCACATTCGGACACGGCTTGGAATCATGAAAAAGAGGAAGAAACAGAGTAGAGTTGAGAACACTCATGATTGTCACTTAGGAAGGACGAGACTGTTTACATTTTTAAAAATGAACTGTTGTGTTGCTACCCCTCACAGAATGCAACATTGTACTGTTTTTATCTTTAGAGTTTAATCAATTATAATGTATTATTTCTAATATTATTTTTATTTTGAACGTTATTTTATTCAGTACCATGTAGCATTACGCTCCTCTCAGTCTACATGAAGGGGAGTTTAGTCGTGAAACTGGGTTGGCTAATCGCTGAAAGGCCCAGTCTAGTTGTAGAGACATGCAAATGTGATAACGTGGTTGATTGCCTGTAGGAAGAGAACTCTTACCTAGCTGTGACTGGTAGATTTGAACCATGGCTGAAAACCTTCCTGGGAGTTGCTCCTGTTTTGCTGTGATGAAATTTGTTCAGACAGAACATTTTGAAGGACTGACAATGACCTTTCAGTGTCATGATGACTAAAGACTTTTTGTGCTTCCTCACCATTTCTAATAGAAAAGATCACATGCTTTTACTTATTTCTTTTTTTAAGTAAAACAAGAAAAACTGTGTTAAATGTGATTAATGAAACATAAAGAAATGAAACAAACAGAATGAGCCAGCTTTAGAGGGGAAAGCTACAATGGGCCGCTCAGAAACAGCACAAACACAGAACATCTGGTTATTGTTAAAACATCTGCCATATGTGCACATGTAAACAATACTGCATGTTTTCATTAAGAAAAATGACATAGGAATCAACTTTGCTTTTAAAAGCAATGACATAAGGCCATTGTCCAAGTAAAATCAATTTGCCAGGATAATTGCCTTCCCCCGCCATGTTTGATGTGATCAGGTTAGGAAGAGAGACCACTGGTGCTTATCCAGCTCCATCTCAGTTGGAATGGGTATGCTGCTGCTTCATATCTACAGTGCAAGTTGTCTCCACTGCCATGCCAGTCAAATGCACACTGCCTGTATGTGATATTGTACTATTCATCACACTTTCTCCCCGCGTATTCTTTCTGTAGCCGTCCTTTTTCTATGAGTACACTTATCTTATGGTGTAATCACCTAGTGCCAAACCTTAGTCTACCCTGGGATGCGTGAGCACCCAAAGGGTCCATGCTGAGAAGAGAGAAATGGGGAGCTCAGCAGGTCTTGCTTTTATTCAGATATGTCATGAATGAATGTCAAAGATGTACCTCTTTGGGAGACATAACTCTTGCAAGGGAAAATCTGTTAGAGAATTCACAATCTGAACATAAACTTGACTCCAGATCACAGTCCTTTTCTCCTTGAGTACAGTTCCTTGGCTCGGCGTCCAGTCTTTCTTATTCTCTCTCTCTTTCTCATCTAGTCAAGGACACAACATGATGACATAGCACATTAATTAGTTCACCCTGCATTTCAAGCTGAGACGCTGATTCCCTAACAGATAGTGAGATCATTTGAACTGTACAGCTGCACTTTAGCACACGGGTAGATAACATGTAGGTCAGGCTGAAGCTTGAGAGACCTTTGATAGAGACTTCAAAGGTTGTCACTCTTTAAGACAGCAGTCTTGTGGGATAAGAAGAGTTGACTCAGGTCAGGATCACTGTCATCCTTGTCTGAAGATCAAACCCAGCAGAGAGGAATTTAGTTCATTTCTTGTCAAAACGTCGATAAACTCTATCCCTCCAAATTCAGACATGCAATTAAAAAGATTTTGCCATTGCAGGTGCAGCAGACAAGTTGAGAGTGAGCTGATCTTTGACCTTAGCCTGACCTTGCAGTAACACCTATGATGTAGGTTGTGTGCTAGACCACTCCAGTGCCTTCTGATGTCCTTTTCAAGTGTGGAATAAATAAAAGTGCATTCCTGACTTACTCATGAGCCATCACTCTTTCTTAAAAGTAACTTGTTTAAATTAATATCTGTGTGAGTTGTTATTCCAAGGGTGCATGTCAACTTTGGGGATTTTATTACTGCATGGTGGGGTTTCCTTTTTGAATCCCTTTTTGAAAGTCACCCCTTGCAGGTTCGCCATGTAACCACTAGATGGCGATATTTTGCTTTGTATGTAAGGATATTCCTTGTCCCCCCTTCACAGAAGTCTGTGAAGGGCTGTGTTAAGTTTGTGTGAATGGTCCGCTATAAGGGAAGTGGGGGTCTGAACACAAGGAGGTGTCACTCCTTATCGGGAAGGAAACAGGTTGGGTGGAAAGCCCTTTAACCGCAGTCTTACTGCCAAAGAGTGGGCCACCAGGGACAATATTTTCATAATAAACACAGAAGAGACCACGTCCCCTACTTTTTTCTACTGTTTTCTCTCTTACACACACACACACACAGCTTAATTCCGTTAAATGTTTGATTGAGCAGCACCAAACCGCAGCACTCAGTCACACCTCGCCGGTGATATCTGATGCGGACAGCTCTGACCCACGGCGAGCCTGATCCCTGCAGGACCTCGTGTACGCCGCTTCACTGCCTCACGCACGCGCACAGGCTGTTGGTGGCTCAGTCTGTGCTGTGCAGTTGGGGGTCATTATGTTGCACTTTATCAGAGCGCTTTCCTCCTTTTCTACACTGCCAGATTTGATGCGCATGGCTGTGCGCCAAGGTAAACACGGGGCGCACTTATCTGCCCCACTGAAAGCTGCAAGTGGTGGCGGAGGGAGCCGCGAGAGAGAGAGAGAGAGAGTGAGTTTGTCCCCAGAGGAGTCCACAGTAAATAGGCACAAGGATTGCGCACGGTTTAGCATCAACTTTAATTATTGCATGTATTCAGAGATAACACTTCTCGGGCTCCCCTGCAAACTGATTTATGCAGTGTCTGACACATTCGTGTTCGTTTCCCAACTAGGGATCATTCATTTCTATTCAGAGATGTGAGCATATGCACACTCCATCCAGAGACAGAAATGCTAACCACATTCGTGCATTTTGAGTGGGGGCGCATGTGTTGCGCTTGAATATTTATGAGGTAAAGCGCGCAAGAAAGCTATGTTGGATAGATGTGAATGTCAAAAACCGGAAAGGTGTGCTGATGTGCCCATCTGGTAGCACTTTCACGGTGCTTACTGTGCCGTATGTGCCCAAAACGGAACCCTCCGGATCTGCAGAACTAATCTGAAAGCCGGGGGATTGGGGAGCACAGGAGGTGGGACGGTGACCCGTCATTAACCCCGAGATGAGCGGAACCACGCAGGGGCGGAGATCCATCAAATGGCCCATCTTGAAAGGAACAGTTGATGGTCATTACAACCTCATATGGCAGAATGAGCTCGCTTTACAGATTGAATAAGTTCATACCAGACATAGTTCAAATATTATGTTGTAGTTGGATCCAAATTTCACAAGTTTTAAAGGTAGCAGGAGAAATGAAAATAAATAAATACATTCGGGACAAATTAGCACTAATAATTTTATAGTGATCAATCACAGCAGCAGAGTGACAGTGCCACTCTTCGGGGTTCATGAGTTGACACCCCTGTTCCCAGAAAAAGCTCAAAAATTATTATTATTATCTTTTTAATGTTTTATTTATTAACCAATCTTCAATAAGCCGGACTAACACATGACTCCAAACGAGTTTGACCCCCTTTCTGCGGGCATGACATAGTCCAGAAATGGCTCATCAACAAATCAACTTATACTATTTGTTTCTATTAGGCTATTGTTTAAAAATCATAAACATCTCAACGAGGTCTTGTGGCTCAGTATGCCTCGGGAGAGAGGCTGCTGAGCTGCACAGTGGGCAGAGAGGGACAGAGGAGGCAGCCTGAAAAGGAAGCACGACTCGCTTATCGCGTCATTCTGGGTTTAGGCGTTGAGCAGGAAACAGCCTTTCCTCTCGGATTGTCGCAGTAGGAACAAACACACAATTTTGTCTTTACTCAATGCACCCCTCGGCACAGAACACGCGGAAGCCGGTCAGAAGGAAAAATGCCTCCTTCTATAGCGATAGCTGTTCTGCTCCTCGGCGTCCTGGCTTTGGAGACGCGCCGGAGTGCCAGCGCGCTGCACATCCAACAGGCATTTGCGTCTCCAAATCAGACCAATAACTTCGTGGTGGACCCGGTGTCCAGAAAGGTCTACCTGGCCACCGTCAACACAGTCTACCAGCTGAACGGGACCTTGACCGTCGAGGTGGAGAAGAGGACCGGGCCGGTGGAAGACAACCTGTTGTGCCATGCGCCACAGCTGCCCCAGGCTCCGTGCGAGCATCCCAAATCGCTCACTGACAACTACAACAAGCTCCTGAAGCTGGACCGAGAGCAAGGGGTGGTGGTCGTGTGTGGATCCGTGTATCAAGGCTTCTGTGAGCTCCGAAAAATGGAGAATATTTCAGAGATAGCGGTGGAGTTCCCACCTCAGGGTGAGAAGACTGTTTTCCCCAGCATGCTCAATATCGCTGCCAATCACCCGAACGCCTCAACTGTCGGGCTTATCTTCAAGAGCCACGGGGGAAACACCCGGCTTCTTGTCGGGGCGACTTACACAGGGGCGGGTACCCAGTTTTTCCCCAAAAATCACAGCAAGGAAGACCTGCGCTTTGAAAACACCCCGGAGATCGCCATCCGCTCCTTGAACATCAAGGATTTATCCCGACTTTTCACCTATGACATTAACCCTTCAGAGGATAATGTATTCAAGATCAAACAAGAGGTTAAAACCAAAAACAAGCTCAACTTCGTCCACGCTTTCATTCAGAAGACTTACTCCTACATCGCCTTTAATAATGATGCGAAAATGGGCCATAAGGAGAGCCAGCCCAACAGCATCATCTCCAGGATATGTCTGGATACCGAGAACCCCCGAAAACCCTCCGGACCGGAGAGCAGAAAGCTCACCGAGTCCTACATCCAGATGCCTCTACAGTGCGGATATAACGGGAACATTTACAACCGGCTGCTGTCCGTTTACCCCGCGGAGATCCACACAGGAGACGGGAGGAGCTCAGAGCCGTACCTGTTTGGAGTGTTTTCCAAGGGGGACAGAAAGTCTGCTCTGTGCGCTTTCAAGTTTGGAGACATCGAGGAGGAGATCCGACAAGGCCGCAGGAACTGCTCCAACTCTCCCAGCAGCGATGTTCAGGTGCTGGACAGCGTTATCCAGGGCTCCGGGGCAGCCTGCATCCAAAAGGGAAACCTGGTGGTAAGGGCTTATAGGTTTCTTTTATTAGCCAACATGAAAAATATATCATTTGATTTCAGTTTGATTTGATTTTATGTGGCCATATAGTGCAAAAAAATTACGTTTTATCAAGTGACATTGGTCTAAAAGACTAATTCAACAGACAAAAATGGGAATAAATCTAGTTACTGAAGTACTTGAGCCAAGTTTACACTTGAGCCAAGTTTACACTTGAGCCAAGTTTTCAGTAAACAAATGTCAGTGAACAGTAGAATAAGTGACAACATTCACACACAAGTGAACAACAAACTGATTATTAATCACACCAACAGATTGTTGCACTTTATTAAAGAAAAAAAAGCAACATGGCGTTATTATTCTATTATTTCATATATGTTTTGATTTCCTATCATGCATTGTTTTGTAAACATTATTGGATTCAAAATGGATATATAAAAATCTGAGCTTTAGTTTAATTTAACCTCAAACCAGAGTTTTCCCTGTATGCCTAAACACTACATGGCTGACAAACCTCCATTTGATTCTGATTTATGAAAGCTGTCAGCCCCTTACATTTGTTCTGACCCTACAAAATAAGACAGACTCACTCATGAGTGCTGTATCTCTCTGACAGTTTCCCATTTTTGCTACAACAGTCATCCTCTTTAGCCCTAAGGCTCATGACTTGGAGAGAGGATCTCCCATGTCACGAGTAGAGGTCATGATAGCTGGAAAGATGCTCCAGAGCCACACTGGGGGTTATGGGAAGGGTGAGATTACACTCACATCCAGCAGCTCTCTGTTGTCTCAAATATGAAGAGAGGAAGGATTTTTTCAGTTCAGTATTAGACATGTTTGTTTTTTAATCGAGTGTGTGCTGCTATCTATAACTCAGCCACAAATATAGCACAATGTCAGTGAATAAATAGCGGCTTTGTCAGAAACACATGGTGAGATATTATCTTGTATTTTCAATACATGCTTTCCACTAGCATACCAAACTAAATATTTGCCCTTAGGGAAACTTAAGCATTGCACACTGTATTTGCCCCCTGTGTTTTCCCTCTGTGTTGATGCTGTCTGATAATAAAAGCAGAGAAAGGTTTGCACAGTGTCTTAGGAATGCTGTGAAATTAAAGCTTTTCATTGTGGTGGTTTTGACTGACAGACCCGAGGTCAAAGGAGGCTGTCCCGCGACCGCTGTGCTGTCAGGTCAGAAAGTCACCTTCCTCGCTGGCACTGTCTTGTTGTCTGTGGCCCCAGGGCCACTCCTCCCGTGACCAGTTTTCTGAATACTATCTCGATTGGCCCACAGGCCTCCCTGAGATAGACAATTGCTCAGTTCAAAGTGGTTGCATGTAGAGTTTTCTTGCTCTTGCTGTAATAAACCCTCACAGAATAAAAGTTTGTCTTGTCTCAAGTTTTAGATTTGTATTGCCATGGCCACTGAAATGTGATCTTTTTTGTAGTCTACAGTCTGAAGGCCAACACTGAAGGAAAGCCAGACACAATTTATGATAAGAGAGACGAGGCCGCGAGCAGAAGGGCCCGTGGGAAACGACTCTACAAATATCCACTGTGCTTAATTCTTTTTTTTTTTTCTTTCTTTCTTTTTTTTTTTTTTTTGCATTTGCACGCTCTAAAATATTCAGAGAATTCCCAATAGATCCTGGTATTCATCCAAGCATGGCACTAATGTTTTATCATCGCCCGCTGAGGATTTGACAAAAGCAGAGTCTTATGAGTG